CCCAGGGCAACACAGTCAAACTCTGTATCAAAAAAAAAAAAAAAAAAAAAGTATCTCAAGATGCGAATTATTTTTTATCCTTTAAGTTTTCTAAACTTTCTCCAGCAAACAAATAATTTTGTAAGAAAAAAGTTGATTTAAAGGTATTTTAAGCTGAGTAAGTATCAAGAATACAATAAACATGAATAATTTTTTAATAGGACAAAAATAATTTGTACTTCAAGCAAATTATCTGAAAAGCTGAAAAAATTTTAAATGAGAACCCACTATGTACTTAGCACAAGAGATTCAAACTGATACATTTTATTATAAAAAATAGAGCAGTAAAACATCTTAATCTTATATGGGCACTGAGTATTTTTAAAAAAGAAAAATTATAACACACTGATATGTTATGCCTCAGTTGGGAACTTACAGTAATTCAATAAAAACACTTACATAGGAGGAGTGTTAGATTTAGCTATTAACTCATCCTTTAGCCTGATGAGCTCCCTTAGTTTAGGGTATTCTTCAAATCTGTCAGCTAAACCTGGAAGGAAAAATAGTAAATTCTAAATTTCCATTCAAATAAACTTAGTGTCAATGAATTCAAAAGGTATGGATATTCTCAAAACAATAATACACACATCAGTTTGCTTTCATGTCTTTTAGAAAAGTTAATCTGTAGCATTTTTCAGATAATTCATATATACATTTTGTATATAATAACCCCAAGCCCACATACAGGTAAAAACTCAGATGTTCTAAAGACTAGCTCAAGTCAATATACCATTTAATTTCTCATATTTATTAAGTTAAGCAATCTGCTCATAGCATCAAGTTTAACCATTCAGGAAAAGAAAAAACAACTATCTTTCCTGTGTGTTTTCCCCCCTTTCTTGCTTTCTTGCCTTTCTTTTGGCTTAAAAAAAAAATTCCTTCTCCCAAAAAATGTTACCCAAAGTAGAGAAAATCAATATCTTTTTCCTATCTTTTTTACCACATAGGAAGCATATTTATAATACTATAAATTATATAAAATTAATATAAAAACAAAAGTACAAATATCAATAACTTTAACATAAAAGAAAAAAGTGAAAGATTTTGAAGATCTTCAACCAGTGCTTGTAGATCACTTTTCAAATAAAACAAGTTTGAAGATTTTATTATAGTGAGGTTTCAACAGAGTTGTCAGTTCTCAGTCTATACCAAAGGAACAACTTTTCTTCAATCTATCATAATAGTTTTCTAAGTACATTTTCTTAGCATTTAAAATGGAAGTGTCTTAAAAGCAGAAAGGTTTATATCCAAATTTAGTTACAAAATTTATAAGGTGTTTTTTCTTTTTTTTTTCTGTTTTGGCTGGGACCAGGCTTGAACCCGTCACCCTCAGTATATGGAGCTGGCATCCTACTCCTTGAGCCATAGGCGCCACCCCAAAATTTATAAGTTTTTATGCTCATCTAAATTTTGTTTATAGAAGCATTAAAATGAGTTTCTATTTCAGAGTAATGTTCCTACAGGTGATAAAAGAAAAAATAAATTGGATTACATCAAAATTAAAACGTACTCCAAAATACACTATCAAAAAAGTGAAGAAACAACTCCAGAATGGGAGAAAATAACTGCAAATCATGAATCTGATAAAACACTTGTACTTAAAACCCCTAAACACTATATACACACACACAGAATAAGAACTCTTGCAATTCAGTAATAAAAAGACGAAGAAAAATTTAACAATAAACAAAGCACCTAGACATTTCTCCAAAGAAGATATTTCAATGGCCACCAATAAGCACATGAAAAGATGCTCAATATCATTAGTCCCTAGGAAAATGCAAATCAAAACCACAACAAGTAGATACCACTTTACACCAACTACAATGGCTTTAATAAAAAACACAGATAATAAGCTTCCAGGATGCAAAGAAACTGGATCCCTCACCTATTGCTGGTACGAATGTAAAATGGTATGGTCACTTTGAAAATAAAGGAGTAAGTAGTACCCAAAAAAGTTAACAGAGGATTACCATAGGACCCAGCAATTCCACTCCTAGGTATACACTGGAGAGAAATAAAAACATCTCCATAAGCTCGGCACCCATAGCTCAGTGGTTTAGGGTGCTGGCCACATCACCGAAGCTGGCAGGTTCAAACCCAGCCCGGGACAGCTAAACAACAATGACAACTGCAACCAAAAAATAGCCAGGCATTGTAGCAGGCACCTATAGTCCCAGCTACTTGGGAGGCTGAGGCAAGAGAATGGCTTTATGTGGCCCATATCCACATAAAAACTTGTATATGAATATTCATAACAGCAGTGTTCATAACAGCCAAAAATACAAACAATCCAAATGAATGGATAAACAAAGTGTGATCATACATACACACACACACACACACACACACACACAATGGAATATTTGGCAATAAAAAGAAATAAAGTATAAACATATGCTATAGCACCAATGACTCTCAAAAATATTATGCTAGACTCAGTGCCCATAGTTCAGTGGTTAGGGTGCCTGCCCACATACACCATGGCTGATGGGTTTGAACCCAGTTGGGCCTGCTAAAACAACAACTACAACTAAAAAGCACCCCAGCATTGTGGCAGGTGCCTATGGTCCCAGCTACTTGGAAGGCTGAGGCAAGAGAATCGCTTAAGCCCAAGAGTTTGAGGTTGCTGTGAGCTGTGATGCCATAGTACTCTACCAAGGACGACATAGTGAGACACTGCCTTCCAAAAAAAAAAATTACGCTAAATAAAAGAAGCCACTCACCAAATACCACATATTACATGATTTCATTGATAAGCAAATTTATCAAGATAGAAAGTAGATTAGTGGTTACTTAATGCTAGGATGGGCAGAGGAGAGAGTGGGAATGGGGACTGACTGCTAATAGGTACAGGGCTTCCTTAAATGAAATTCTCAGAAATAGATTGTGGTAATGACTCCACAACTCCTGTGGATACACTAAAATAAACAATGAATTATACTCTTTAAATAAATGAATTGCATGATCTCAGTAAAGCTATCTAAAATGCAGGCAGTCATAGAACCAATGAGGTGCTCTCCTACAAAAAAAGAAAGAAAGAAGAAAAAATAATAACATTGTGTAAGGAAAAGGAATTTGTACCAGAAGAAAGCACTGAGTAGAGAAAGAGGAAGCCAAGCCAGGAAAAATAATTTTGTTAGAAATAATCCAGAAATTAGTAAATTACATGCATGTAATTCAGACTTAAGAATAGCCTATTCCAAATAAATCTGACCTACCTACATCCCTGATGAAATTCTGAGGCCTATGTCCAGTGTCTACAAAATGTTGGCAGTAATCATTATGGGGATTCAAACTCTGTGTTCCCTTAAGAAAAAGTCAAAATTAAATTAATAGCACATACTCTGGTGACAAACACACCAAATTTGTACTTTGTTTTTTATCATGGGGTCACACAAAATATAATCAACTGATACGTTAAAGTAATCTTTGAAAACACAGTAAAATTATAGCATTATTCTTTAGTAGCTACTGACATTAATATATTATCTCATACTAAATAGTCTCAGAAGGAAATTTTATAAATTATTTTAATTGATCTTTATTTTATTCTGCTAATCCTTAAATAACCAAAAACAAATCTTAAAAACAAATAGGTATTTAAAATCTTTTCAGGTACAGAACTTAAATGTGAAAAGTTAACAAGATTTAAAAATTCTCTATTTTACCTTAAGAAAAGTACTTGAATCTTTGTAAATCTCTTCTTCATATGGCAAGTTTTCTTCTTCTTGTTGCATTTCTACTTCATCCTTGAAAAAGATTAAGGAAACATTTTATACAATCTAATTATTATATATTAAGATATAACAATTATTTCATGTCTCTAAGATATAATAAATGTTTCCAATTAGCATTAAAGCCAAACATTAAAGTCTTCGCTTTCTCATCACTAGATCTAATTATCTTCAAAATAAAGTAAAAATTTCCTCATTATTATGAAGGGTAATTAATTACAATTACTAATATTTTGTTGACTGAATAGTCTACAAGTATTTATATCATATATAATACTATAAATGTGAGAATTTAACTTAAGTCATGAAAGATATGACCATCAGTCAGGCAATTTATTCCTATCAGATTGAACCATATGGAACTACTATACTTATAGGTCTAAAACACTGGAATATCAGCAACTGTACATATGGTTCTACCTAAAATAATCACAAATATTTAAGGTACCTATTAGCATACACCAAAATGCAACACACAAAGTGTTCATGAGATTATGTATCATATCACTAAAACTCCTAGATATACTGAAACTACACATTGTCTATTAAATATAGGTACACACAATTTACTTTTAAAAAATGGAAGTAGGTTTTCAGTCATAATACGTACTTTTCTTCAGCTAAATATTGTAGTTACAAGCTCAGGTGTTGGGTTTTTCTCAGGCCTCTTCTATACTGCTGGCTAGTCATGAGTTCCCAAAATATTTTTACTGTACTACCCGGTATTAACATGAATACCACAACTCAAAAAGGACTATTGCAGCTTTCTGAGATCGAATCTAATAACTCAAAGTTTCTGATACATTTATCTCCTCATACTTTTGTAAGGATATTATTGCCTGGTGCTTGGCACACTAAGTGCTTTATATACATAACCTAATTTAATCCAGACAACTCTGACATTAAAATGAGAAAAATAAGGTTTTATGTTAACTGATGATAACATATGACACTAACAATTGTTTTAGCACATCTTAAAATTCAGTTTTCCATCAAATTTGTTTTCCTGGATATGAAACTCCATGCATTATTATAAGGATTAATTTTTTCTTCACAGTAAAATTCTCTCCTTGCCTTATATTCTTCCATTTTGTCTTCATCTGTCTCTCCTTCATCCAAATACTTACGTTTTGTATTTGGAGCAGAAGTATCATAAGAAGCCCTGAAAATGAAAATGAAAATATCAGGCTCAGCGCTTGTAGCACAGTGGTTACAGCACCAGCCACATACACCAAGGGTGGTGGGTTCGAACCTGGCCCCGGCCAACTAAACAACTGCAAGAATAACAACAACAAAAAAATAGCCGGGCATTGTGGTGGGCACCTATAGTGCCAGCTACTTGGGAGGCTGAAGCAAGAGAATCACTTAAGCCCAAGAGTTTGAGGTTGTTGTGAGCTGTGATGCAATGGCTCTCTACCTAGGGCAACATAGTGAGACTCTGTCTCAAAAATAAATAAATAAATAAAATGAAAATATCACACACAAATATATACAAGATGTATAAATGCATCTATTAAAAATATTAATAACAGGGAGTAAAAACAAGGCAAAATTTTCCATATTAAATATTATGTATTTACTCAGTTTATATACCTTCCAAAAATTCAAACAACTGATTGATAATTCTGTACGTTATTTTCATGAGAAAGCAAACACATGAAAAAATAAGCTGTTGTAGGGGATGTATTATAAAAAATAACTTCTACATATGGCATCATTTTAATCTGTTTTAAGTAAGACTGATGTCCAAATTGATCACTAATATTTTGAAATGCTTTCTTAACTATCAAATAAATATCACTTTTAGCATACAGTATATTTTCCTTCATAAAATTTTTTTAAAAATACTTAATAGTATGTAAGCCAATTCTCACTTTAAAAGCCCATTTCCTAACTGCTTTATAAATGAAAACTTACCATATTCAGAAAATACTTCATAATTCATGAACTGACAATAAAACTCCATGCTTCTAAAATCTTTATTTTGATGCTTTTCATAAAAACACACTACATATCTAAGGTAATCTATTTATTAAACAATCCTTTAACAATATTAACATTTCATTAAAAAAAAAAATTAATCAACTGACCTGCAAGTTTCTCTCGTTTCAGCAATTTCTCTCTGCTCATCTTTGCTATTTAACACAGCACCAATGCTGTCAGCACTTTCAGCTCCCAACTGGGAAAAGGCAAAAACCAAAATTAGATAACAGTGCATTAGGCAGCCTTTTCAGGCATTTATAGAAACATTTACCATATCAACTATTTTAAAAAAAACCAAAAAAGAAAAAAAAAAAACCCTAACTCATGTAACAAATAAGTGGATTAGCTAGCAAGACAAACTAGAACAATGTTGGAACAAAGTCATGTCAACTAAGAATGATTTTAACAGCAGAAAAAGCATTTTATGCTTTTAGTTATATAAATAACTCCTTGACTTATGATACATCCTGATAAACCCATCATAAATAAATGTGAAAATAAATGTTTTCAAAATAAAAGTTGAAAGTGTGCTTCGAGACTTATTTTAACTTACAACAGATTTATCAGGATATAATCCCATTAGAAACTGAGAAGTATAGTGAATGCATGTGGGTTTTACACCACTTGAAAGTCAAAACATTATTAAGTAGTATTTGATCAAGACATTTCACTTTACCCAATTTCCCACTTTCAAAGTAAACAATAAAACAGTTTAGTAGTATAGGTTGAACAACCCAAATCCAAATGCTCCAAACTGAAATTTTCTGAGAACTGACATGTTCAAAGGAAATGGTCATTAGAGCATCTCAAATTTCAGATTTTTGTATTTCTGAATGCTCAACTGGTAAGCATAATGCAAGTATTTCAAAAGCTGGAAAAAGTGTGAAATCCAAAACACCCAAACATTTGGGAAAAAGAGATACTCAACCGTAAGTAGCAATAACCAAAAAGCAACGACCAGAGTTTTGATACAGGGTTGTAGGCACTAAATTAAACACGGTGTATGCACTGGCTGATATAATGTAATTTATTATCGCTGTACTTTATTATCCCATGCTCTAAGAAAAATCTATCCAGTTTTATTCAAGTTAAGTCTTTATAAGGATTATAGGCACAACACTGAACTTTACTGACACCTTATGAATGACAATGTAAATTCTTTTGAGCTTAATATATTCGTCTATACAAGGGTGGATACCAACTGACTGTAGATCAAAGAATATTTATGTAAAAAGCTTAGCAAAGTCTGACACATAATTATAAAAGACTTAATAAATGGCAGGCATTATTAAATTTTACAAAATTTGTAAGCTGAGGGTAAGGACTACAGTTCATTTGCCAAACCCAACAAGAGCCTTGGAATTCACTGAGTGTAAAATGTTCAACAAATAATTGTTCCAATAATGTATTTTGAGTCAAATAGAGGTCTGAATTCAAAATTAAGAAGAAACACCTTATATACTGGCAACAAGAGCTACTAACCATTTCTAAAGATAACAAAAGAAGTGGAGGAAAAGAAGACTAAAGAACACTTGATTTGTCCAAGACGGTTATGCCAGCGGGCCAAGAAGTCTGACTCCTAATTCCCCTATTTCTAACAATATACCACAAATCCTTTCATCAGACCATAAAAGGAACATAGGTTTCAGATTTCCTTCAGTAAAACCAATATTTATTACTGAAAAATAACAGCAAGATGCCTCATTACAGCCCATCAGTACTTTCCCCATAAGATAGATGTACTGATCTTAACAGGCAAATGAAAAACATAACCTCTGAATTTTAAAGCAGGAGCACGTAGTCTGTACTTTCTGCATGTGTAAACTTACTCCTACATAAGAAGCGGTGAAGGAGAAGAGTTTATAAGACAAGCTTTGGAGACACAAATCTGGGTTCAATTTCCTGGCTGAGAGATGACCCACCACGGGTAAAATTATGTAACCTCTGGAGCCTGTTTCATTATTTGACAAGTGAAGATAATACTACCTATCTCGGGGGGTTGTTGTGACTAACACAGAGTAAAATTTCAATTACTGGCTGTGGATCATGACAAGGATACGGTGCATAACACGTATACATCAGAAACACAACCTAAATTTATACTCAGGCAACTTCCAATGGTCTTCAGACATGACCCTAAAGAAATGATGTAAGTTTATTTGACAGCGAAGCCACAAGCTCAAGAATTTGGGGCTGACCAGAAGGAAAGACAAGCCACAGACGACCATTTGTGAAGACAAACTTTAGGATAACAAGTCATTCATCCTTGTGTGAATTACAGTTACTTATTTACAAAGATCAGAGCTTTGTATCCCCACCACAGAGCCCCGCACCAGGGAGGCGTTCCAGTTCCAGAAAAGTTGCTGAAAACCAACCGTGGCACTCGAACTAGACAGAATATGGAAAAAAAAAAAAGAACTCAAAACACTCGGGGAGCCGCAAGTGTGCAGAACAGCGAGAGAGCCAAGGACCAGGGTGGAGGGCGCAGGAAGGCTGGACCGCGGCAGGTAGGGAAGAAGAGGAAAGAGGACGCGCACGCGCATTGTCGATCCCGCCCCACCTAGGCCGCCGCGGACCTGCTGCGCGAGGAGCTGTCGCCGTAACTTCTGCCGCTCCCGGATCTCCTGCAAGCGGCTATCCATGTCCTAACTCCTCTTTTCACCACCTCAAATACTTGTGAAGTGCAAGTGAACCCTCGCTCAGTCTTTCCTCAGAGTCTGTGGAACACACTATTCACCGAGAACTGCTGGCGGCGAGTACCTCCTAAAGCTGTCCTCAGTAGCGATTTCCGGCGCAGCCGGAATTGGCTCAGCCCAGCCCGGAAGTCCCGCCTTTTCTCGGACGCCTGCGGTTGACGCAACTTGAAAGGCCGGGAAGCTGCGGCCCGGGCGGGGTTCTCGGCCGACGTTCCGCAGTGTCTGGGCGCTATGGACAGGTCTGGTCCTACCTCTTGTCCACGCTCCTTTCCAGGATATCAGGTTCCCTGAGTGTATCACAGTGTTTTTAAAGCGTTGCCTCCCTTTCCCATAAATTCTCTAGTTGCCAGTCCTGACGTTTTAAAAATTGCCAGACCTGATTTTTACTGAGAACACAGACTTGAGCCAGATTGTGGCTTTGGCCGGTTGACCGTGTGAGTGGGCCTCAGTTTTCGCATCTGAAAGGCGGACATACTGAGAGTTTATCTCAGAGTTGTAAAAATTGAAAGAATAAACGGCTCTGGCACATAGCGCCACGGAAGTGTTTATTACTGAGATTTTTGTTACTGCTTTTCAAGCAGGGAACAACCACCGTATTTGCCCTGCCCATTCCCATGCTTCACTGAACCTTCAGATGCTTCCTGTTTTACCACAATGCATTTTATGGATGGTTCCCTTCAGGGAAATGGGTAATAGTAAAATGTATCTTTACTGGGTTTGTGTCCTAGAGGTCAGGAACCAGTAGACCCTTTTTGTGTTTATTCTTTTGTCTGAACTGAAATAGCCTACTTACCTGGGTTTGAGAAATAGGAGGAATGGGGCAGTAGTGGTTCATTTCTTTTACTCTCTGATTCTGGCATCCATGGGAATCACGATATCCCTTACAAATTCTAGGGTCAGTTGGAGAAGCCCCTTATTTCCCCTGACTTTATGTAACCCCCTCCAACAGCAACTCTGTTTGGGGGCTCTAATAATGCCATTTCTCCCCATGTTCCATCAGCTCTAAGACTGGTGACCATCTGCAGTTAAGAATTTTGAATTTTCATTTTCCTCTTCTCATCTTCAACACCTGTGTAACCATTTCTCCATAGAAAATGGTGTCTGTTTAAAATACTTTTTAAACTATTTCTGTTTTCTGCCTAAAACCAGGGCTGGTAAAATGCAGATGTCTACTACCTTGTAATATTTACAAAGCAACTGGAATCAAGCCTAGGGTCGTTGCACTTTTTACAAAGAAGGGGCTATAATTCTGAAATATGTCTCCCAGCTAATGAATTTTAAAACAGCAGACCATATTAACACACCTGTAAGTACTGTACATACCCATCAGTAGCATTTGTTCATCCTGGCAACATAAGGACCACTAGGGGGTGTGTGTGGTAGCAAGAGAAGGAAAAAAACTTGGAAAGTCTTCACATATATTTCATACTCTTTGAAGAAGTAATGTCACCTCTAGGCACTTACTTATACAGATGCTTCTCAAATTATGATGGAGTTACATCTTGATACACCCATTGTAAGTAAAAAATATTTTACATTAAAAATGCATTTAATACCCTTGATAAACCAATCTCAATATCAAAAAACCATAAATGTAACCATTGTAAGTTGGCGACCACCTGTATATCCAAGTGGCTGTTGTACATCCTACTGGAATGTCCACAGTCTTGCCTATGTTTTAGATATTTTTATCTCCTCCAAAAAGTCATGTTGAAACTTAATCTTCAAGGCAACAGTATTGGGAGGTGTGGGCTTTGGGAGGTGATTGAGCTTTAAGGGCTTCACCCTCATGAATGGGATTCAGTGCTCTATGTGAAAGGGTTTGACAAAGGAGTTCACCCCTTTGTCCTTCCTCCCAACAGTCTAGAGGATAGACTTTCAAGGTACTGTCTTGAAAGCAGACAATGGCCTGTCATCAGACAATGAACTTGGCAGTGCCTTGATCTTGGACTTCGCACCTGGTAGACCTATAAGAAATATATTTCTGGGCTCAGCACCTGTGACTTAAGCAGGTAAGGCACCAGCCACATACACCTGAGCTGGCAGGTTCAAATCCAGCTCCGGTCCGCCAAACAACAATGATGGCTGCAACCAAAAAATAGCCAGGCATTGTGGTGGGCACCTGTAGTCCCAGCTACTTGGGAGGCGGAGGCAGGAGACTTGCTTGAGCCCAGGAGTTGGAGGTTGCTGGGGGCTGTGATGCCACAGCACTCTACCCAGGGGGACAGCTTGAGGCTCTGTCTCAAAAAAAAGGAAAAATATATTTCTGTTCTTTATAAATTACCGAGTACAAATGAACTAAGACAATCTCAAGATTAACACAGATAAAGCCTAGATTTGTCATCCATCTTCCCCCTCTCAGAAAAACCCAACTTCACTTCTCCAGCATTTCCTATTTCATTAATTAATAAATTAATCTATCTTATAAGTTTATTGTACTTGACAGGACAACTGATCAGTATCCCCCTATTTTCCTATATCTCTGTCCCTGCCCGTACCCACTGACACACATACACACACACAATTCTTCATTTCTACAACTGCAATCTGTGGACAACTTGTATTCCAATTCATACCTTGATTGGCCCACCTCTTTCTAGTCTATTCAATTCTTCCTAGAGATTGTGGAGTATTTTATCATTTTAAACTCTGCTCAAAATTTATTCATGTTTTCCCCTTGTCTAGGGCAGTACTGTCCGATAGAACTTTCTATAGATGATAGAAATGTTACCTGCACTACCCAGTATTGTAGCCACCAGCCATATATGTCTTCTGAGGACTCAAAATGTGAATACTGTATCCAAGGAACTGAATTTTTCTTTTATCTTAATTAAATATAATTAGCCATATTTGGCTAGCGACTACCATATTGGACAGTTTCAAGGGGATACATATCTAAACCACTTAGCATTGTAAACACTACTGTTTTACCAAGCCTCATTCTGTTCTTCTTTATGCACCCATCTTTTCTTGTCTATTTTCCAAAAATATGCCTTTTTTCCCTATAGTTTTTATAAATTAATAATTAGGTAAGAGAAAATTCTCCTAGAATAAAGAGATTGGTTCCAAAGAGACTTTTTAAAACTACATTTTTTCTTTCTTCTTCTTTTTTCTTGTCTTCTTGTAGAGATGGAGTCTCACTGTATCATCCAGGCTGGGCTGGTCTTGAGTGCTTTCTTTCAAATGGCTCCCACCTCAGACTCTCAACATGCTGGGTTTATGGGCATAAACCACTCCACCCAGCCCCTTTCTCTCTTCTTGATGGTGTAAGTACTTTCAAAATGTAGTAGACGTGTTTTCAAATTTGTAATTCCATCCAGGAAGAATGAATTAAAAGAAATTTTGATTAGTCCACTTGTTGGACTTTGTTGTAGTTATATTTCTCTGTAACAGTGATTTTGATCTCAGAGATAAAGAATAGTTAGTATCAATGACTTTCATACAGCATTGCCAAGGTCCATGTCCTTTTTACTTGTCTTAATCCCCTGCAAATCAATTGAGAGGAAAAATTCCTTTCCACATTTTATCTTTTGGTTTGTCCTTTACTTGCCAATTTTAGTCTTTCAGTCTGTTAATAATACAATTTGTTGACTGTCTTTCTTTCCTCTCTTCAAATTACTTTCATTTATGCAACACTATATTGTTACTTTTCTTAGATTTTTGTAGCTGTCATGAAAAATTACCTTGATGCAGTGGTGGCCTCCAAATAACTATAAGCTAGTTTATCCCAGAAGTCATAAAACAGGCTCACAGACCAAATGAAGATGTTTTGATCACACAGTTTATTAAATCACTTTAAATTACATCATTTGGAGCGAGTGGAAAGAGATGCGGTAAGTTACCACCCTAAGGAGAGGGTGCAAGTGGGAAGGACTACACCGTGTGAATCCTGAGTTGCACAACATTCATATGTCCCATGTCTGTCTTCAGCTGCTCTCTTCCTCACTGGTGGTTAGAGGAACACACTGAAGTTCAAGTAAAGAAGTCAATAGACAGAAGATGCTTAGAGCCAGCGATACACATTTGATCTATTAACGAGAGATGGTGACAAGTACACCTAACCACAGCTATTTCTGGTCAATCAGCCTGCCAACAACCATGGGTGCTGTGTTTCTTAGGTACAGCACATGTGGGCCCAGCATAGGACCATAGAGGCTAAAGGAATGGTAATATGGTCTTTCCATCCCTTTCTCTGTACAAATAACACTCTCCTTTGTTCCATCATACCTATAATTTAGGCTACCTAGCTTTAACACATCATTCAGTTTATTAGGTTCCTTTTTTAAATTTCAGATTAATATAAGGGTACATACAATTAGGTTACATTGTTTGTGTTTGTTAGGTAAAGTCCAGGTTACAGTTGAGCCCCTTCACTGAAGAGGTATGCCATATACCCCTCTATTGTGCCTGGTGTGTGAGAGCTCACCAGACTCCTTCCTCTTCCCCCCTTCTTGAATCTAAATGTGTTTTTCTCTCTTTTGACCATAGAGTTGTTCATCTACTAGTTTTGGAGAATTGAGTATATGAGATGCTTGCATTTCAATTCTTATGATATTTTACTTAGGAGGATGTTCTCCAAATCCTTCCAGGTAAATACAGACGTTGTGAAGCCTTCATCTTTCTTTATGGCTGAATGGGACTTCATGGTATACATATAAAACAGTTTATGTATTCATCTATGGGTTGATGCACACTTGGGTTGTTTCCTCACCTTTGCGATTGTGAATTGAGCTGCAATAAACATGCTAGTGCAAATGTCCTTAGGGGAAAATGATTTTTTTTTTCCTTCTGGGGCGATAACTAGTAATGGAATTATGGGATCAAATAGAAGGTCTACTTTCAGCTCTTTGAGGATTCCCCATACTTCTTTCCAAGGAGGCTGTATTAGTTTGCAATCCCACCAACAGTGTGTAAGTATCCCCTTCTCTCCACACCTATGCCAGCATCTGCGGTTTGAGGACTTTGTGATTCTTGCTGGGATTAGGTGATATCTCAAGGTGGTTTTGATTTGCATTTCTCTGATGACTAGGAATGATGACCATTTTTTCATATGTTTATTAATCATTTGTCTGGCTTCTTAGGAGAAGGTTCTGTTCATGTCTCTTGCCCAGTGA